CAAAAACTAAGATGAAGGATGATGGGGCAAGACAGTTGATAATAACCTCTGGCCTCCTGTGGGTGAGCACATATGCGCAGATGTTCATGCGCACACACTCAACAAATTTAAAGGATAAAAAAGGAAGTAGCTCCCTGTCTTCCCTCCTGTTGCCTGTGATGCGTTCTGAGTCTTCCAGAATCAGAACCAGTCCTGCTTCTCTCTTCAGGGGAGAAAGAAGACAACTCCTGGAAGGGCTCAGGCTCCCTGCTGAGGTCCAAGCAGTTGACCTTTTAAAATCCAGAAAAAAAATTCTTTCTCTAAGAAATACATCCCCGAAGGTGTTTTGTTTCCTAAGCAATCTAGTAATAATCCAGGGACCCAAGGAAAAAGGGGATTTTTATTTGTTTACATCTTAAGGCTACTGTGAAAGAAAATCAATATTAGCTGGGGCTATTACCATAGTGGGAGAGTTCAGTGCTGAAAAACTCATTTCCAAACTCATATGCTAATGGGATTTTGGAAGTTAGTGATAAGGATTGAATGAGATTACAGGCGAAGGCAAGAGAGCTTTGGACTGGCTCACTGACTTTGCTGGTCCTGTGATGTTCTCTGCTGAGTTAGGATGCAGTGAAAATGTATTCACCAGATGTGAGCACCATCTCTCAGACTATCAGCATCCAGAAGAGTCTGTCCAGATCAACTTCTCCTCTCCGTTAGGTATCCAGTCTGTGATATTTTGTTACAGCAACAGAAAGCAGACTAAAATGGCTAGTTACAAAAACACCATTTTAAGGAATAGATCTGTCTTTTACATTTAGAAGAAAGACTTGTACACATTTAGATTAATTCATTATAATGACTGAGCCCTTGCTCTGAGGCCAAGATACAGATGACAGGGTCAGTTCCCTGGGCTGTTGCAAGCATCAGAGAAGATTCTGGGTCTTGCCTGCACAGATGAAGACAATGAAGTCAGCAGGGTTAAGAAACTTTGTAGTAAAAGTTTTTACCATTGCATATTTTTGTAAGCATTAGAAAAAAGCATTCCGTTGGAATAAATGCAGCTCTCCTCTAGTAGGACAGGCTCCATATTGTTCTTCACATTCCCGTCCTGTCTGGACCTTTCAGTGTTAATCACTGATTTACTAAGTGAATTTATACAACATGCCAGTTGGTCTCTTACAGATACAATACTTGGGCTGGTTCTCTTTTTTATAGCTGTTTATTTAAATTAGAAACAATCTTATTTTACATGTCAAATCCCAGTTCCCTCTCCCTCCCATCCTCCCATGAGGCCTACTGACCCAACATCATTTGTTTGGTTTTGGAAAAGTAGCTTGAAGGAAAGGGCAGTAAGCAATTGGAGCAGAAATTCAGAGAAAACATATATATATATATATATATATATATATATATATATTCAATATAGAATCAGAAAATAGGATGGTATGAGTTTGTTGATAATAAAAATAAAATTTGGTTTTCTTCAATAGTACATATAAAAAAAAACTTTGTAGTAATTGGTGAAAACTATGAACCCAAGTCACTGCCTTCAGAAGTGTGTTCTTTCTGCATAAAAACAGGATCAAAAGATTTATACTTCCAGAGCAGATGTAAATCTTAGTCTATAAATTCAGGTGGCTTTCTTTTCATAAATCATCTTAACACCATTTCCAAACCCACCTCCCAAAGGGCTGGAGGAAATGAAAGCTGAACCTTCCTCCTACTGCCCTGCAGATCTGAGCAGGGCTTTGTAGGGTAGAGGTGAGTCTAACCAACATGGAAAGGCACCATGCCCGTGTCTCAGACTGGTGACTGCCAAGTGGCACACTGTCCCAGTCTATGCCACTCTTTACCCTGTGACTTCTATACAGAGCCTGAGCGTCTTACTGGCTAGTTCATCTACCCTGCTTCTGCTGCCACTATCTGAACTTTGAACATGGACTGAAAAGCAGTGTCTCTCTAAGAATCCATTGGACTTTCAACACCACTCTGGGTCTGTGGAGGCAGCTGACCTTGTAACTGAGTCTCTGCTGATTTCTCATTCTCTCCAGTGTGAACTAATTCCCCAGACTACTGTGGAAGACAATCTAATACATCCCTTTTAATATATATTCATCCTATTGGTTCTGTTCCTCTAGAGAACCCTGACCAGTACACAGACCATATGCTCTTCCTTGAGCAACCTCTTTTTCCAGTGAATTTAGAATACCAACAACTCTTTCAGGGAACATGCCCAGCATATCCTATTATCTTCTTGCCAAGGCAGGGTTAAGACAGACTAGCCTGAAATCTCCATAAGTCTTGCTAAATATACCCAGGACACCATCCTTCACTGATTCTCACCTTGGTGGATTGTGCCCCACTGAAGATGCTCACAGCAATAGCACTACAGGTATCATTTCTCAATTTTGGCATTTAATAATCTCTCTTGGCCTATCATATAATGTTTATATAAGCTTGTTTCTAAATAACACTGACGTTGTTATGGCAATGCACGAAATCATTCTTTTTGAAAGACCCCAGTAACTGTGGGTGAGAGCTAATGCCCATGTGTTGATTCATCCCACAATGGATCTAACAACTCGAGTCTAATTTGTAGGTTCTTTTGGAAGATCTGATGAGCTGGAGTACATCCTGCTCTACTCAGTTATTTGACTCTTAACTAAAGACTTACTAAAGGGATGTATAAATGTCCTCAACCACAGAGATCGGAATCACTGGCTCGTGACATAAAAATACATTAATTCAGAAAGTGGGCATAAAAACCCACAAGGAAGGCACAGGATTCACCACGGTCAATGATTGCAATATGGTCGTGAACAGCATTTTAACCAATAAGTTTCTGCATTTTCTCCCTGTCACTAGTAACTCCCTGAGCTGTTAGCACACACAGGACTTGCTGGGATGTGCTCTCAGTAGACCACATCTTTGGGGATCATTTTATTTCCTCAGTTTAGTGCCTCCTCACTAACATAGAGCACTCCATAATTTTTTCTAAAGATTCTATCAGTCTTGATCCAGTGTGCTAAGTGATAAATGACAGTAGGCTGGCCACAGAGGGGAAGCTGGCAATGAGTCATGCTGTCTCCTAGTAACCAGTCAGTAAATAGCTTCCAGGGAGCGCCTAAAGCCCACAGCACATTTACCTCTAGTACTGTCCATGGACAGGTTTCCCTAATCTATATCTGTGCACTCACCTTCTTTAAGAACGTATGGGAGGATGGAATGGAATTGTTTGTCTGCTGCCTCCTTCAAAGCCCTGGTGAAAACCTGCTATAGCCCCTAGTCTTTGACCCATTTCCCCATGTTTTGCTTGCTCTCAAATCTTACAAAGCAGTTTTTGTTGTCTGTTAATTTTTGTGATGGATAGGTTGTGCTTTGTAACCAATAAATCAGTTCATGTTGCAATGTAGCACCACAGTTCAGAGGGAGGCCTGTCAGTCGTTATGTGTGGCAGCAAGCCTCTGAAGTTACCTGTGGGCTCTGTGAGCCAAGGCCATGCTCTGTCTTCTCTCTTCTCACACCCGGTCCATGTGTACAGGAGAGCTTGGCTGGGCAGATAGGCTGAGACTGTGGGGGAGAAAGAGATGATCTCTGACAGCACTTATTAATGGAGAAAAGTTCTCAGTGACTACAGACCTGGTTCAATGCCACCAGAAGCATCAGTGGGGAAATAGTGGGAATGGGTATCAAAGTCATCTGATCTCTTGCCCTTGATGGAATGATGCTTTCCCAAATCTTGGAAAGTAATTGTAAGTCTATTGTTTGGGAATCAAGATTCACTAGACTCAGTACATGTTAAGTAAAGTTTATTCAGGGAGAATGCACTTACACAAAAAGCGGGTGACCGCTGTAAGTTCCAGCTTCCAAGGATTCATCCAGGCTCCTCTCTCTGACCTGACCAGGAAGCAAGAGGGAGCCACCTACCCCAACCCCAGACCTAAAGTCACTCCCTGTCACACCTGTGACTATACCCAAACAGGCTTGGTCAGCACTACAGGTGCAGGCAGGGTGAATATCTCACTACGTAAGTCTTTATCTTCTACATTTTACTAGCAACAATAAGAAATTGTCATCACTCCCAAGAAACTGTTTTGTTCCATTTAGTCTTGTCTTTTTAATTAATGGCACAGGCATCCCTCCAAGTGCCTGTTTTACATCTCGAACATAACTAGAGATTTTGATAGATGATCATTTTAATCTTCCCCAAATTCCATGAACTGGGGATATTTGCTCTGGATATACAGCCCAAGGCTTAAAGAGGCTAAACAAACTGCCCCTTGTTGCAAAACTAACAAACTGCACAGCTGAGACTTGAACCTGTGATTTCCTGGCTCTGAAGTTCATAAACATAACCCACACTAATTCCTTTTCAGTAAGCCTCGAATCTGAAGTGAATTGAAGGAGAAAGCATCAGTGTTTATTAATCTGGCTAAAGAATTACAGCATTATATGACAACCACACATGTGGGCTTGGGTAGCAGGAGTAGGAAGCACTTAACCCTGGGGTTTTCAACTGTAATTCGCAGGCTCTGTCAAGGCTCTTAGAGGTGCCCAAGGGGAAGAAAGGGCAGCAAGGGAAGTCTGGAGTTTCAGTGACAACTCAGGACTTTCAGTTCCTGGCTCTGGAGGCAGATACCTCCCACAGTCTTCTCATGATGACATCTCCGGTGAGTCTCATTCAGTAGGGATGGCAGGGAGGCTCAACATTTCGGTGGGAAATAAAGATCAATAATTGCAGAGTTAGCCTGTATATGCCATTTCCTAGCTCATGGAGAAAAAAAAGACCCGGGAACAGCAATTTATGCAGTCTTTTCTGTTGCGGGTTGTGTTAACTTTTCCTGAAGAAGACATTAACAGATAGATGCTTGTTCACCCCAGTTCCGCAGTGAGACAGACAAAAGTACAATGCCATCCAAGTCCAACTTGCTCAAACACTGCATTGACTGGGATTACTTTCAGGGTTATAAGATCACAGGTGACCCCCTCCCCCAAACAGCAGCACCATCACCATGGATGATGGCCTAATGAAAACTGCATCCTGGAGTATGCCTTCTACTTCCTAGACACTCTAGCTTCACCCAAGATCCTTTGCAGATATGGAGGGAAGAAAAGCACACCGCCTACAATCTCAGGTAAGAGTCCCATGACCCTCCCTCTCTGGGGAGTGTCAATAGCTCCATTACCATTGTCATTACTGTAGTCTTGGCTACTTCTGTATTGTTCTGCTCAATTAGTTGCCATGGCTACAGGCCAAGGTAATCTGATCTAAAATGGCATGTGGTGATCATGTTATGTCCAGAGGGGGGAAAAAGCCTCACTATAATAGTTATGATCATAGCCCTCTGAGCTGGGAGCACCCCAAGTATTTGTTACCCCTACCACCTGCAAGAGTTGACTTTTCCTCCCTTATTATGCTCATATTTCTCCACCACTGAGAGTAAGCCGTCAATGACTCCCTCTCCTCTCCTTAGCCCTTACTTTGTTCCTTCATAATAAGCTAAAATCTGCCCTTTCATATCCCTGGGAGTCAAGTGGGGGTAAAGTTATTCTTCTCCTTGAACCCACGTCATATGCTGAAGCTATTGAGCATCAAGTAGGCATGGCACTTCCAGGCCCTTGTCTCTTATTCCCTTCAACACGCTTCAGGCTGCCAGAGTTCTTCAGAGCAGGCTGACACACTCCAAAAGAGCTTCAGCGCTGCTTCCCCTTAAGATTCCAGTGCAAAACTAAATAAAGATTCCAGCAGCATTTTAAGTCGTGCATTATCCCTTAAATGTTCATTCTACACAATGGTTAATCTTCATTATCAATTTGACAGAATCTAGAGTCACCTAGGAGACAAAGGACTGTAAAAGGACTGGCAGAAATGAAAATACTTGAAAGTGGTACTTTTGTCCCTCAATCTGGTTATCAGTCTATTGATTCAATGAACCATAAAGAAACGGAAAATTTCCCAGGAATCTTATGCTGGGAGGAGGAAAATGTCCCCACTCCAAAGGAGGAACTTGTCTTCTGCAGTGAGATTCTACATAGTTCTAACAACTGTCTCACCACCTTACAGATTGATACTGAAACTCAGAAGATAATTGGGCAATGCTGGACAGCCCCACACTTTGACTGGGGCTAATTAAAAGTGTACATCCTTGACTCTCTATTTAAACTTTAATCTCTTTTTAGGGCCCTGAAGATGGACTTGGGCAAGTTAGTTCACTGGAGCTCTTTTTACTTCTTTCGAATATGGCCACATTGAAAAAAAAATCTCCTTTTTTTTCTATTTTGCACTATTAATTGGCTTATTGAGGATGGGTGGCTGGACCTGACTTGGGACACAGGTTGTAGCCCCAAGTTTGACAATGAAAGTTAAGCTGAACATTGGGATTCATTCTTACTTCTTGACTGCTGATGCAATACAATTCTACTTCTTGGTCCTGCCATAATGGACTGTACTCTCCAACAGTGAACCAAAATAAAGCCTCCCTTCCTTGAGTTGTTCCGGTCAGATGCGTCGTCACAGCAGAGAGGAAAGTGATTAATGCACACACTGACTCCCTTAGAATGGGTAAGGAGTGACTGTCATGTGAATTAAAGTTGAAATGATGTTATCTTGCATCTGCATTCTCCCACACAGAAAAAAACCTTTTCATCTTCACTGTTTCTTTCTTTCCTTTTTTCCCCTTGGAGATAGGGTCTTACTATTTGTCTCAGGATGGCCTGGAACCTGTTATCTTCCTGCTTCAGTCTTTCAATATGGGCATTAAGATGTACACACTCACTCCCAGTTCTTCATTTCTTCAAAGGTACTCCCTATACAGTCCAAATAACTCTGTATGCTGCTGGTGGTGATTCCTTCCCAAAGGAAGGCAGCCTTTGCTGCTAATAGCTGTACAAGCTCTCCAAAAGGATTTGCAAGTTTGAGGTAATTAATGAGTTGACTGTGGGAATATGGTGAGGCAAATTTAGATTGTTTTACTCAAGTCATAACCACGACGGTGGTTCAATGATTCGTGCAATAGATGCAATGATGGAGCTGTGAGTCCATGGATGATGGTAACTCAAGGACTGGTGAAATGGCTTAGTAGGTAAAGTGCTGGCTGGGCAAGCTTGAGGATGTGAATTTGATCTCCAGCACCCACGAGCAAAAGCTAAGTGTGGGGGTGTGCACTTAAAAAATCCCAGTGCTGGGTCAAGAGAAGCAGAAGGGTCTCCAAGTTCAGCAAGAGACCCTTTCTCAAGAAACACAGTGGACAGTGCACAAGGGATGACATCTGAAGTGGCCTCTGGTGCCTGCATGTATGAACACATACTTGTACCTGCACCCAAATGTCTATGTGCATATCAGTATACACACATATGTTGAATCAGCTTTAATGATCTTTATAGATATATTTGTTAGTGAGAAAAGAAAGGGAAAACAGTGGTAACCAATGAAAAGCATTTCCTAAAAGTTGCAAAAAGTACTACAATTGGTCCTCAGCTGATACAATTGTTGCTGTTGTAGTGGCAGTGACAAGCAGCAGCAGAATGCCACTAAACCCCAGGCCCGGAGTGTGCTGCAGTTTACCTCTCTGAAGTGAATGCAGATTACCATTTTAATAATGGAGCCATTTTGTTAAATGCTAGAAGTGGCCCTGAGTTCATCCTGGACCCCAAAGTCTGAAAGGTAGGAAATTCGCCTCAGAATTGAGCATCCACAAGAAAGAGCACACTGAAAAAATAACTCCAGCTTCATCCCAGGCTAATTTTCTCTCAGCATCCAGGGCTATCTGTAAGCTGCTTAAGTGATTCATAGTGCATTTTCACATTTCTTTTTATTCAAAGAATAAATGTGAATTATCTTGTTTACTGTCCCCACAGCTTGGCAATTATTATTAGCTCCATCTTATATTTGGAAAAATAAAAGTTCAAGATCCTTTGAGAGCCATAGTTCAGGAGAGGCAAAGAGCAAATCTCACAGGGAATATTAATGGGACTTAGATCTCATGGGTATTTCAGCTAGAGATGCCCCAAAGATCATCCAGTTAACCACCTCATTTTGAAGGCATGGATGGGGGACATCAGAACCATTCCAATGTTCTGTTTAGCGAACTTAAATACTCTCAATTTCATTTCCATTTCCTGAGTTTGAGATGAGAAGACTTGCACTAGCTGATTTCTAATAATAGGACTCTCATAACCACTAATGGGATTGTGCCAGGATGGATGCAGGCATCTCTCCGTGTGATGTCTAGCTAATGTATATACCATTCATGCTGAAGAGGGCACCAGGTGGGGGCGGGGCCTGCCTCCAAACTCCTGTGGGACATTCGCTTGCTTCCGGTAAACAGACCTCAGGCCTAGTTTTGGACCAGCATCTCCCCCTCTAAAATTAGGTGTTGTACTAAATCTTTAATGTTCTTAGAGTTTTATGTGCCATGGTTCTCACTTTCTTTATATAAAATTTTCAGATGCATAATATACACATATGTCATAGGAATGCAAATTCACAGACACTATAGAGAGAGAGAGGGAAAAAAAGCAGAAAGTAGAAACAGAAGATTCCAGGATAGTTAACTATATTTCAAGGTAAGTGGTCTCAAAAGAGAAAAATGATTCCATTCCTCTTTCTGTGCTTTTTAGAAGGTGATAGATTCTGGGCACCTGGTATCTTGTCTGTTTCCTTCCTGAAGTTTTGAAGTTTGTTCTTTGAAATTGGCATCAAACTCTGTCACCTGATGTGGTCGTTACATTCTCTGTCAACCTGACACCAGCTAGAGTCATCTGGGAAGATGGAACTTCAACTGAGAAAATGGCTCCATTAGACTGGCCTGTAGGCAAGTCTGTGGAGTATTTTCTTGATTGATGATTGATGACTGATGTGGAAGGGTCCAGCTCACAGTGAGCCATGCCATCCCCAGCCTGAGTTGAATAAAAAAGGCAGTAAGTGTTTCTCCATGGCCTCTGCTGCAGTTCTCGCTTGAGTTCCTGTCCCACCTGCTCTTCATAAAGGACTGATTCAGATGAGTGGGTCAAATAAACCCTTCCTTCCCTAAGTTGCTTTGGTCATGGTATCAGTATTATGGCAGTAAGAAGCAAACTAGAATGCCTGGCTATTGTAGTACCCTGCTCACGGGAGGACTTGGGACATCTCACCCCAGAATAATGAGGACAGAAAGGGCAGCCTTGTTTCTGAGTGAGGCTCATTGACTTCACTTGCACGATGAAGCTGTGGCTTGGTTCCGCCACACTCGTCTAGGCTTTGCTCATGTCATCACACTCGGAGGAGGCTGAGGCTGTGACTCAAGAATCACATCATCACACATGGAGGAGGAGGCTATGACTCAGTGCCACCATGTTCTTCTAGCAAGGATCCCACGCCATCACAGATAGAGGAGTATGAGGCTATGACTCAGTCTCTCCACGTTCCTCTGACAACAATCGCATCATTGCAGATGGAGATCTGGAAGGCCTGACTCCAGAGAAACACGAGTCAGGATGAATTATGAGAGTCGGTAGACCTGCAAACACTTTCTTTAATAATTAGCCTAAGGTGGAGGGGGACGAACCTCACTAAACTCCCATTTCACACAACCCAAACCGAGTACCGCTAATGCCTGGCTGAACACAGAAATCCATCTTCAGGTGATGCAGCTTAAAACCTCATTTGTAAAACACAGCCTGAAGGGCTTCCAGCATAGGGTGAAGAGCTGCCAAATGTTGCCTTGGGGCTCCACCATCTCTTTTGGGGACAGCTCAGGACACTACTAATCAGAGCTCTGGTTGAATGTACCTTGGAGAGAGCCCATAGGCAAACACAGAATGGTTTTATGATCCGGAGGGAAAGGAGAGTTTCCCATCACACACACAAACTCCATGCTTCCCTTATACAGACTCAGAAAAGCCAATGTGCAGAGAGCATCCTGTCCCCATAACACCTTGATGGGATGAGTGAGGACTGTGTCACTGCCTTGGTAGATCGGTACTCAAATGCACTAATCTAGTTTTGTAGACAAATCCTCACCCATGCCAGTTTATAAACTTGCTTTAAGAAGCTATCGGGAAAGCATGTCAGGAAAAGGGAAAAAAGACTCTGCTAATCTACCAGTCAGTGTTTGTGCCATATCTACCATGTGGTGGGGGTTACAGTAAGGCATTCTAAGAGCTCAATGTGTCAGGTGGTACCAGCTCTCAGAGTCTTTCAGTCTAACTCAAAAGGTGACATGGTGGAACAGATGATATTGGGAAGAGCATGGCAGGAAAACAAGAAGGAGGGGATGGTGGACTCAAAGCAGGAAGCATGGAGGGATTGTAGCAGTCAAATGTTTCCCTGAAGTTGGGCTGGGTGTATTGCTTAGTTGGTACAGTGCTTGTCTAATGAAGGTGCTCACCTCCAGTCCCAGCACTGAGGAGGTGGAGGCAGGGGTATCACAAGTTCAAGGTCATCCTTTGCTATGTAGTGACTTCAAGGCTGCTTGAGATCCCGTCTCAAAGATTTGAAGGAGGAGGGGCGGCAGCAAGAAAGGAAGAAGAACGAAGAATGGAGATCCTTGGAAGAATCGCTGGAAAAAAGACTTGAGGATAGGAATGTAGCCGGGTGGTAATCTGGGTGTGATCTCTAGGAGAGCAGATAGGGCTACAGAAATGAAGTACAGTGTGGAGCATGTCAAGGTGCCAGTCACCAAACCCTCCACACATCTCATCTGATCCTCAAATGGTCATGTGACACACGCCATTGTAAAGACTGGAAACCAAAACAGAGGATCAGGGGAACAAAAGTGATCTAGAGAGGTGGGGGTGGGAGGTGAGGGGTGGGGAGGGCGACATGGAGGGAGAGAGAAGGTAGGGGTAAAGGAGAAAGGACTGGAGAGTAAGACAGGGAGAAAGGAAGAGAGAGTTATGTAGAAAGAGAGAGTTACTCAGAAAGGAAGGAGAAGGGAAAGAGAAAGAGAAGGAGGGAGATATGAGGGGTCAGGGAGGGCGCCAGGCATGGCACATGCCTTAGGAAGAGCTTCAAGTGTGACATGTAGCACATGCTTTGTGTGTGACCTGGGAACTCTGCACACTCCTGGGCAACTACTTTGTCACCTTGGGTCATTCCCCCTGTACTTGTCGCGGACCATTTCTTTTTCTTTTTGAAATGACTGGACTGTAGAAAAGAACACTCAGCAAAACCTAAGACTCCAACTACCCAGTGCTACCCTGTCATAGAGCTGAGCTGAATCCTTTGGAAAAGGCTGAGAAGCCATGAATCAGTCAATCAACACCAGGGATTGATCCATAAGGGCGCCTCTAAACTCCAGGCTTAAATACAAAAGAAGACAAGCATGCCTAGCTCTCTGCCAGGCACTAACTCCATTCTGTATTTGCTTCTCCGTTTTCCTTGGGGAACATTGACACTGGGAACTAAGAACAGAAGGAAGCAGTGGGATGAAGCCATGTCCAACCCACCTGTCTCAGCATAATGTAGAAATCTGGGTTGGGGCTTTCTCTTGTCAACAGGGCTGGGCTTA